TTCTTTATTAGAATGATATAAAATGTTCTAACAAGAAAGACGTTCTTTATTAGAATGATATAAAATGTTCTAATAAGAAACACGGTCTTTATATAAAATATTCTGATAACATATTACATTTCCATAATGAACGTTCGCTTTTGAGATATAAAGTATTCACAGAAGATGATAAAAAACCCTATAACCCAGGCGCTTTTGAATGGTGGAAATTTCTTCTTCAGGATCAAACTGGGAAACTTTTTGAATTTTGTGACATCATGAAAGTATTCATAGATGGTACACTAGCTTTGTTCTAGAATTTCAATATCACATACATTGTGACAAAATACACGATATTTGGCCTAGAAGTCGATTTACGAAAATTAAAATATTTTGATAAGATATACAATATTCCACCTTGGACATATAAAGTAATATGAACAATCTCCACAAGTACAATTATGGCATATAATAGGTTCTAAGAATATACACGATCTCTGAGACACTTGTCAACATGGACCTTATTAGAATTGTATTTAATTAAGGCTAAATTGTAGGATATTGACCTTTTTTATGCTAATTTATTACTATTTCAATATATTTTCAACAAACTATCTGTACTTTATCTACCCCTAGATCTTTTTAATTTAAAAACTAGCTTAGTTCCTTTCACTCTGGTTTTAAGTCATTTTGTTTGTCACCAATACAGTGTTATTTTGTTTGTTTGTTTGTTTGAATTTCGCGCAAAGCTACACGAGGGCTATCTGCGCTAGCCGTCCCTAATATAGCAGTGTGAGACTAGAGGGAATGCAGCTAGTCATCACCACCCACCTCCAACTCTTGGGCTACTCTTTTATCAACGAATAGTGGGATTGACGGCTAAAAGGGCGAGCATGTTTGGTGGTACGGGGATTCGAACCCGTTACCCGCAGATTGCGAGTCGAGCTCCCTAACCAATTGGTCATGCCGGGCCTATTTTGTTTGTCACCAATACAATGCCATTTTGTTTGTCACCAATACAATGTCATTTTATTTGTTACTAATACAATGCCATTTTGTTTGTCACCAATACAATGTCATTTTATTTGTTACTAATACAATGCCATTTTGTTTGTCACCAATATAATGCCATTTTGTTTGTCACCAATACAATGTCATTTTGTTTGTCACCAATGCAATGCCATTTTGTTTGTCACCAATACAATGCCATTTTGTATCACCAATGCAATGCCATTTTGTTTGTCGCCAATACAATGCCATTTTGTTTGTCACCAATACAATTGTTTTTCTTTCTTTTTTTTAGAGGTATACTTCTAAAGCTCGAGAAACTGGGTCAGGACGTCAGATTTCGATTGCAACGTTGAAAGTGAGTGATTATTGTATCGCAAGTTCAGAATTGGGAATTTTATGATGGGCAGAATATTTTCCTTTTATTTTTTACTAATAATATAATGGGTTTGTGAACTAGTTGAAAATTGTTCAGTAAATATTTACTGAAGCTATCATTAGGTTAATAATGAGTATATTTTTTAAAACGATTCGTAATATTTTCTCTAAATTATTTATTACTTATTTGTGTTAATAAATTGAAAAAAAATAAACTTATTGAAAGCAAACTCTTGACATAAACATAATGGCGTAACCCGTATTTTTAATGTTTTAATTTATGCGCGCCAGAGGACACGTGAGGTTAATACCTAGTCACCGAGCTGTATATATATATATATATATGTAGGAACTGTAGAAGATATTAGACGCTGACTAAAAGAAGCTGTACGTATTAGTGAAACTGTCATCTTGCCGGAAGTATAATTTCTATACAAGAATAATGCATTCAGAGAAGCAGGAAACATGCCAGTTTTAAGAATCAGGCTAACACTGGTGTACCGTTTGTATAATATAGATATAAACCAGAAACAGCTTGGCTAGTAAAAAAAAAAAAATGTGACTTGTTATACAAACAGCGATAAAAAATCTGCTATCGGAATGGGACCAAGGCAATCAATACTATTGGATACATAGTTTAAAATTACTTGATGAAAAATAGTAAATTCTGTGTTATTTTATTATCATGTTTGTCGGTTATATTAATGATAGTTGAAGTATGAATTACTTGTTATTAAACATGTGTCGCAAATTAACATGCCATCGGAACACTGTTTTGTTTCCAGTATCAACAGTCCTGCCACTTTTAAACTAAATAATTAGGCCTACATGAACATACATTCAGTCTTTTATTTGTAACAATACTTAAACTACTAGTAATATGCATAGTTAATTTCAAAATACTTAGAATTAAATGCAACACTGTCAATACTTGTATATCTTTGAAAATTAGATCAACATATCTTTGAGGACTCAACAGTTATGTGGCATTCTAGAAGCATTTATTGACCCCTGACAAAATGGTGCTCGACTGGCATTGCCCATGAGAGACAGCGATCTCTTCAGATTATATTATTTAGAGCTAACTGGATCTAATAAATCCACTTGTGATCTAGATGAATATATTAATTACATATACCAGTAATTAGTTGATTAGTGTCCCAGAACCAATCAGAGAGAGAAATTGTTAGTAATGTATTCAATGAGTAATGAATAAGGAGTGTAAATTATTCAATTTGGTAGTAAATGAGAACTTTAGTTAGTGATGTTAGCGTATATTGTAGTATCTTGAGTTAATCTATCGATTAACAGAGAAATCATTTTAAAAGTGAAAAAGTTGTTTGTAAACTTAAGCCCACAACTGTGTACAGGTGAAAGTAGCCTGCAGCAAACATTAAGGAAGAAGTAACCTAATTTTTTATCGTTACGTGAACTGGTCTTGGCCATATTTTTAACAATTAATTTAAATGAACCTGCCCAACGATAGAACACACAAGAACAATAATTTGATATGGCATTAAAGTGACATGTTACTCCAAATAGGAACTGTGATGTCGATGACAACATATTTACCACCTATGTAGTTGATTTTTGGCGAATTTCAGAACATCGAACAATAAAATGTCGCTTAGGTAAGATTTAAGGCTAAAGAGAAATATTTGCATAGCAAGATCGTTAAAAAATGTAGAACTAAGAGGCATATCATTTTCAGAAAGAGAAATTTCAGTGTTTTCAGTGGATGTAAAGGAATCTTTTAGGACAGAAGTTTGTTCTGAAATCACAACCTAAGCCCATTCTAAGCGGCTTCCTCTACCACGAAGTGAAGGTTACAGTTACGAAAGAGAATCTTCTGACTCAAAAATCTCATTCCATTAAAATAATTTATATATTTGCTTTTAATAACAGTAACTTTAAGTTAATGAAGGCTCATAAGCTTGCAGCCAGAACTCAAAATCAGCAAATATTTCCTGGAGAAAAATATGGGAAGAAACTGGAATCCTAGCGCCACCTTTTTCGGTCTCATATCTGCCAAGTCTTCTGTGAAGCTTGGATGGACTTTCGCACCACTGGTTTGCTTCAAAGTCACAATAAAAACTGGTATCCTTTTATAGTGGATACCTTATCAAAGATTATGTTCTAAAATTGATTTAACCTCCTTCGCAGACGTTTGGTTCAAGGAAAATTTTCTACGTCATGTAATAGTGCATAATCATGCCATCAGAAGGTGTACGATTGATGTTTGAAAAAGTAGTTCCAAGCGTGGCATAGGGCCTAGAATATCTTTCTTGTAAAATGCGATTAACTTTTTATTTGTTAAGTATGTTATACATTGTTTTATGTTTGAAGTAAGTTTTTCATACAGTACTTTTATGTTTGGATTAAGGGGTGAATGCTTCTTTCATCCAGAGTTTTTTTCTGTTTAAAATTCTATTGACCAGAGCCTGAAAGTGGCCGTGAAGAAGTTGCACGTGACACATATAAGACTGACACGACATATGTTAATGGAGATCCGACAGGTAAATAATATATATATATTGCCTTCCGTTTTGGTTTGTTTATTTTTATTTAAAAAACAATTTCCGTATTTAAAGAAAGAGAAGACGATATGTATTTTATCTCTTGGTTTGAAAAATTATTTCACAAACAACGGTATATTGTAAAGTGTCTTAATACCGGAAATAAGTTTTCTTAAAAAATACACAAGTTCAGATAATGTGATAAAATTCAGAAGTATAGCAGTTTAATTAGATCACAAAAAGTCTATACAAGGCGCTAAAACTTGTTTTGAAGTTTCATAAACTTGTTAATACTATTTAACGTTTCCGTTATATTCTATATTTAATACTTTCATAATTAGATGGAAAAGTTTTATTCGTTTAATTATTTTCACCTTGTAATAATAACAAAAGAACTGATATTTATATGTTTTATATTTTTATTTTATATTTTCAATTAACGTGATTATTATTTACTAAAGTAAACTGAATATCGACCTTCTATTAGCGCTTCATCATATTGTTACGACAGTAAAAGCCACGTCATGAGTTTCTAGAAGGATCATGACTTTTCCTGGCATCTCTAGTCCTTTCTAGGCGCCCTCTATTTTAGTATATAAGCCCGGCAAATAAAGCGGAGATAATAGCAGATATATAGATATAGAGACAGATAATTGAGTCAAGCGAGCGGTAGTGACGGTAATATAAAGTGCGTGTTTTGTTATCGAGATTGCAAACGTATTGACTGTGGAAATTCTGTGTATTACAAAGTTTGTAACGAGAAAGAATAAACTAGTTTTAATTAAGAAAGGACTTGTATCGCTGAAATTTCTCTGGAGAATTTTTACGGGAAATTATCAAACAAGCAGATACGTAAGAATATAAACAGAAAACCCCCAGTTAATAGTGATTGTTTTCGTATAAACATGTGTTAGCACCAAGCCACACAATGAGCTGTCTGCAATCTGCCCACTACGGGTATCAAAGCCTGATTTTTAGCGTTATAAGACTTCAGATTTTCTGCTGAGCCACAGGGGGACTTCTAGAAATGTGTATTCTTGTTTAGCTGGAAGGATAGAAGTCCATAGAATCTGTTCCAGACAGACCACGCTAATGCTTCTACTCAGAAACAAATATTTATATTAACGCCACTAACACTGATTAATTTTTGTATTGATGATCATGGTGATGTGTAACTGAAAACAGAGAAATAACAAGCAAGCCTATAATTATAATATGCTTGTTTGTTTGAAGTTAAGCACAAAGTTAAACAATGGGCTATCTGCGCTGTGTCCACCGTAGGAAATTGAACTCCAGATTTTAGCATTGAAAGTACAGAAACTTACCGCTAATGCTACAGTTTCACTGCATAAGAATATTTATTATACTTTTCTCTGAGTTGTGGCGCATGATATCACAAACTGAAGCCTTAAAACCAGGTTTATTGGTGCTTTTAATACAAAATGTGCAGTATGTACAACGATCCAAGTCGCGGGTTGCTGTTTTTTGGACTTGGTTTACTCTGTGGTCACTTATTTGGG